GTGGGTTTGCGAGAGTTGTGACGGAGTCCCTCGCCACCAGCAAAAGCAGCCGAGCTGATCCCAGTCACATCTGTGACCATGGGGAGGCTTCTGATGCTGACCTGGTCTGGGTCTCCTTTTCCTTGGCACTCTGCCACTGCTGCATTTGGCTTGTCTTCCTCATCCAGCAGAGGCATGCACACCATGTCCTCTGCTGGGATGGCGTAGGTGCTGCTGTTACTCTCCACAGGTGGTCTCAGGAGGTAGATCAATTTTTCCCAGTAGGTAAAGAGGTCGTCCCGTCCCTCGAGAGGGGGGCACAGCTGCAGGTAGCAAGAACGGCCAGTGGCAAACTTGAGGCGTAGCTGTTGTTTCTCTCGGTTGTGAACAGAGAGCCTTACGAACCTCAAAGGAAGGAGCCTGGTTAGCTCCAAGGCCTTCGCAGCCTTGCGATTTTTGCCCTTGATGGTTTGGCCACGTCCAGGAAAGTCTTCACAGCCCGGGGCTGGTCGGGCCAGTAGCATGACATCAGGGAGTGGAAGGATGGGGCTGGTACACGCGATGCCCACGGTCACCATTCGGACACGGTTGTGCACGTCAATCACTTCTCCCCGTTTGGTGATCTGGATGAAGTCACTCTCGAATATCGGTGCGTACTTGAATATATCATACTCTCCTTTGTACAGCTGCCGTTGTAGTTTTCCCATGGCAGTGTTGAACATGCCGACGCCGGAGCCGCTCTGGGCTGTGTAATATGGTAACAAAGACTCAGGCTTCGTGGTCATTTTGTGTCAAGAAAGGTGCGCTGGCAAGGTGGGTTCCTGCGTCTGTCTTGGTCTCCGCAGATGAGGGAGCAACGATGCTCCTTGGTCACAGAGCTGGCACCTACAGCAGATCTCTCAACCCCACCCCACAAGCCCCCAGTTTGCCTCAGAGCCTCCCAGAGGCCTGGGCTGGGGGTGGGAGCACAGATGATTGACGAGGGGTGGGCTGTTGGGTGCCTGGACCCCAAGCCCAATCTCTCCAAAGAGGTAGAGATGCAGGGTAGATTCCAGGGAGGTCTTCTTCTGGGTCTAAAAACCCCCCGACCTCCGCCGGGGATTGTTTTGAAAGCCCCCTGAACATCTACCTACTGCAGCCCTAGTGGGAGAAGTGACTACTAGTGCCTGCAGCCCTGCACAGCCATACTTAGCCCCGCTCCCTTTGTGACCTGTCGCTGCCACATCCCCCTTTGTCCCATCCTCCAGCTGCCCCACAAGAGGACAGGGCTTCAGGTGGAGGCCAAAATGGAAAGGTTTCAACATGGAAGAATTGTATAGGAGGACTTCCTTCAAACTGGAAAGATTCAAAGCCTATGGGAATGCAAGGGACAGGTAGATTGGCAACTTTGGAGCTTCTGGTGTCATTTTATTGGATAACCTGGAATACTGGTCTTGATCCTTCCAAGAAACCTCACTACATGTTGCTGGTGATAATCTCTCATGGCAGCTCTGGCCTTTACTAATTAAGATAAAATTAATGCTTAAGCACACTGTCCTACATAGGATATTTCACATGTTACTGGAAGACCCGCCGGCATGTAACCAATGTGGAACACTATTGTTACTATTCTCATTTCACAGGGTAAGAGACTGAGTGTGACTTACCTGCTCCCACAAACTATGCTATTGGAATCCAGGTCTCACTAATTCTAAAACCTTTGCTTTAAACTGCTATAGGGCTTTGTCTCTTTAGGGAAACTTGGGCCACTCAAATGTCTCCAAACTGATCTGTTTTTACTACATCATGTAAAATGTGTGTGTGTGAGAGACGGAAAACCGCTTAAGACGGTGAGTGGGCTGAAGTGGGGTGTTAAATTACCCGGTGGTTTGTCCAGTTTTGTTTTGGTGGGGGACGATTTACTCCCCTAAGGACTCCAGGTTTTGCTTCCCACTCTCCCACACTGTGCCGGTGAAATGCAGAGTATAGGGGTGGGAGCTAGGACACGTCTGTCATCGTGACTCTGCCTATTGCCACACCCCCATAGCCAGCCAGACTCTGGACCTACAAACTGTTGTCACCTGGGCCCTTACTCCAGACTCTCCCAGTTGGTTTGATAAACTCTTCCTCCAGACATTCAAGGCTAGCTATCACCCTGTGGAGGCACACACACCTGTATATTGACTGATCGCTGAACGAGCAAAATACAGATTCACCATACAATACACTCAGCCGTGAACGGGAATGGAATGTTGATTTATGCTTTGACATGGATGGACCTTGACATTTGGCAAAGTGAATGAAGTCAGGCATGAAAGGCTGTAGGACAGGCAAGCCTGAAGCAATGAATGGTTGAGTAGTTTGCCAAGAGCTGGAGGTGGGACCTGGGGATGACAACTCTCCGGGTGCCAGTCAGTGGTGGCTACACAGTGTCATGCATGTGCACAAAGCGTTTGAATGTGAAGTGTTAGGGGTTGTGTTTTTCCGTTCATACACATGACACTTGCACCCTTAGCGCTTTTGTCCGAAATCTGTGGTTTTAAGAGCATAGCCTTCCATCTCGGGTAAACTGAGGGACTCTGAGCAGCTTTGGAGACATGTGCAACGGAGCAATGCCTTTGGGGACCGAATGGAGAGTCTCCCCAAGTCCCTGCACTAAAGGCGCCAGGAGTCCGTGAGCTGTCAGGTGTTAGGGCCCTGCGGGGGGAAGAGGGTCCTCTGTCACTGAGGAAGTGCCTTTAAGGGAGATAAGGGGAACCCACTCTCATCTTCTCTTCCTCTCTTTGCTTTCTGGTGAAGTGATTTTGGTTCGCTGCACACCCCCGCATCTGAAGAACAGGAGGTGGCCAGCGGGTGTCAATTCCTATGGCCCCATCTAAGTCTGTTCTCTCAGACTCCTTGCCTGGCTGCTCCTTCAGAGTGAAGCCAAGACAGCCCAATGCCTTGATGGCAAGCGTCCAGGCAGCTTTTTAAATATCAAAGCAGTAAACTTTCAGACTAGTTTTCCTGCAGGAAGCCTCCCTTTGCCCCGTCTCTAATCCACTGCCTTCCACAGCCTAGATTTCACGGCAGCACGTCTACCCACAACCAAGAGATACAGGCAGTGCTGTTTCTTCTTTCTTCCCCTCATTAAGATACAGGTTCGCTAGAGTGGTAGATGGCTCTTTACTGATTAGAAGCAACCAGAAATACAACCATGCCGGTAACATGAGATAGTCTAAAAGCACTACAGAACAGTTCAAACAAGCAGGTACACAGGGCCGGCTAGCCGGCTGAGCTGGTAATGTTTGCCGCCAAGCTTGACGACCTGAGTTGCTCTCCAGGTCTCATGCGGTGGAAGAAAGAACTGACTCCCAGATCTCCACACAAGCTGTGGTTCACCCTACCCCACAAACCAATTAATTAATAAACCAATTAATTTAATTAATGTAATTAAAAATTACATCCATGGGTCTGAAGAACAGTTCAGGGATGGTAGAGGAGTAGCCAATTGTGATTTCCAGTTTGTTTTGCATGTGCCCATGGAAAGTAAACCTCAGTCTATTGAGACTTAGATTCCCATGCTGGCTTGCAGGCCAGGAGGGCTTTGGTGTAGGTTAGCACATGCAAGGTCTGGGTTCAATCCCCAGCACTGCAAATTGAAGGAGGAATGAGGGGAAAAGGAGATAGGGGAAGGGGGAGAGGGTAAGGGGAAGATGGGGAGGGAGAAATCATTGGGTCAGGAAATTCCAGAAAATTAGGATTACCTTTCTTGAAACAACTTTATCCGGCTTGTCAAAAATTGTCCCATCCTTTCCTGGTATTTGAAATACATACTGTGTGCTGTGTGGCACATGTGGATGCTAACAGGTCTATGGTCCTCGTTTGAGGAGCACTGTGGATGCTAACAGGTCTATGGTCCTCGTTTGAGGAGCACTGTGGATGCTAACAGGTCTATGGTCCTCGTTTGAGGAGCACTGTGGATGCTAACAGGTCTATGGTCCTCGTTTGAGGAGCACTGTGGCAGAAGGTGGATGCTAACAGGTCTATGGTCCTCGTTTGAGGAGCACTGTGGATGCTAACAGGTCTATGGTCCTCGTTTGAGGAGCACTGTGGCAGAAGGCAAGTTCAAGAGTGTCAAGCTGAGCCAGAGAGACGGCTTCAGCTGGTGAGTTCAGTTCCCAAGCCCCGCAGGGCGGAAGGAGGAAACTGACTCCCACAACGTGTCTCACCCCCACACACATAGTGCACGCATGTGCCAGCCCCTCTGAGACAATGTAATTTGTAAAAAGGCTCAAGCTGAAAACGTGTATGTTTTAGGTGTATTTGTATGTTCGAGAAACTGAGGACTGAAATATTTAGCTATTTGAATTTTACATAAAAATATCTATCATAAGCCAGGCAGGGTGAAGTGGGCCTTTAAACCTAGCCTTCTGGAGGCAGAGGTAGCCCTCTGGGAGTTCAAGGCCACCTCGGGCTACATAGTAAGTACCAGGCCACCTAAGGCTATTTACTAAGCTCCAGGCTACCCAGGGCTACAGTAGTGAGACTCTCTCTCAAAAACAATGTCAGTGCCAAGCAGTTGGTGTGCAGGACACATGCAGTGTTGTTTCAGGGTCTGTTGATGAGAAACTGAGCATCAGGCAACAGCCTGAGGCACAGGGTGAGAAGTCACCCCCTGGGCAACTGCACACATGAACACAGCCCCTCACAAACATACCTGCATACACATACTTAAAAATAAATTGAACTGGAGAGATGGCTCAGCAGTTAACAACATTCAGTGCTCTTGGAAAGGACCTGGGTTCCATTCCCAGCACCCACATGGTGGCTCACAACTCTCTGCAATGCCCTCTTCTGGCCTTCTCAGGCACTGCAAGCAGGTGGTACACAGACATACATGCAGACAAACCACCCACAGACTTAAAAAAAAAAGCCCAACTGCCCTACCTGTGTTCTCCCCATGAATGAAGTTGTCCGCAAGTGTTTAATGCTAAGCACCCCACAGTAGAATCGCTATTTCAACAGTCTTAGTGGAAACCAGCACAACACTTAAGTTTACCATGTCTTATTCTGATATTTATTATGTTGACAGGCTAGGAATACTGGGATAAATAAGTAATATTTTCTCTCACAGAAAAGTTGTAATGATACTATTAAGTAGGATTAAATACTCTGAGGATTTCACAGAAACGTCAGAATTTTAACAGTAGCCAGAGTCCTGGTGGCCAGAGGGAGGGGCCTCCCAGCTGAAACGCTCTGGGCCGCATCTCAAAAACAAAAACAGTGCCATTGACATCCACCACGTACAAGCCTGGCCCTCCACCTGGCTTCCAACATGCTCCTCCACAGGCTGTGAAAGGAAAATGGAGAATCTCTGGCTCTTCTAGTCCCAAATTCACACCTGTCCTGTCACTGAATGGGAAGGAGAGTCCTACCCTTTGGAAGCTGGACTTTCTTCGTGCCCTCTTTCTGTGACGTCATAACAGTCGGCAGCCAAGGACCTGCTGTCGTGGCCAGGTTCTTCCTCAGCAGTGGGTACAGGGAAAGGGGGCGTCCTCTGTCAGCACAAAGTGGCACAGCTGGCCTTCGGGCCAGTCTCACTCCTCTGGGGCAAGCGAGCTCACGTGGTCACCTGAATGCTTTTGAGGGATACTGTCCGTGATGGCAGACCCCCAAACTCTCAGAAGTCGGTTCTGATGAAACTCCCGGAAAAATCATGACAAGGTTGTACAAGACAAACACCCAAACAGCACAACACCTGGTTCTGAAAAGAATGCCCTGTACACAGTTGTTCCAGACGCAACAGCGTTATTTTCTAGAAGCACACCCTGGCCATTGGACAACCTCGATAATGAGCCTTCTCGTTCCACATTCCCCAGGAGGGACGGTGTCAGCTACAGTGGACACGTGGTCCCACCCCACCTACTTCTGCATGAATCCCACTAGTGGGCATCCTGCATGGTATGGGACCCCAGCCAGGGGTCAAGCTAGATCATCTGAGAACGGCCAGGATGGTAAGGCCTAAAGCCTGGAGTTAGTGAGCCAAGGGATGCTCTTGCCCTGTGCCACAGTTCACTCTGGGACAGAGTGGGGCAAGGCAGTGGTCACCTCAGGCCCTCCTGCCCCAACGGCTCTCGGCTGCTGAGATTCTAGAAGTGCATAGGAAGCCAGTTTTCCAATGGCTTCAGGGTTTGGGGTGGAAAAGGAGGATTCGGTAAGGACTCCCCAGTTGCCCCCATGATGCTGCTGTTTAGCTCTGCAATGTCCCTTCTTTTATCTGCTGGATAAAGAGGTTCCTCTCGTCTTCCGGAGTCCGCCCATTCTGAGCCCGGACAATACACGTGGGCCGATGCAGGTTGAGCATGTATATCAAGTGCTGTTTCTCATTTTTCAGCTCCTCAATCTGGGCCTTCAGCTCGGCGTTGACACTCTCCAGTTTCTCTGACTCCTGAGGGACAATCAACACAGGTGTTATGGAAAGAGCTGAGGGTCGGGGAGGTAAGGGGGACCACCTGGAAACCATGGGCCTCATCAAGATGGGAGAGGCCTGCTGGGGGAATCACCCTAGTCAGAACCAGGCATGGGGGGGGGGTGTTGGTGTAGACCCTGGAGAGACCTCTGAAATTAGGGGGCATGTCAGAAGAGGCTTGGGGATACCAGTGAGCAAGGCTGCCATGCTTGCTGAAGCTGCCTTAGCATCAAAGGCTTAGAGAGGCCTGTGCTCCAGTCCTCTGCCAAGAGTATCTAGTCCACAAAGAATCTGGAAAACTGGGGAGAAATCCAAACTGGTGGTGCAGCATTTCTGGTCTCACCAAGACTCTCATATCCACAGAAACACTTGTGTACTCAGAAACACAAAGTTTCCCAGGTTCTCACTGACCCTAAAGCAACAAGCAGAGATCCCAGGACTACTGAGGTTGGCTTGTCTCCGCCAGAAGCTGACCTGCACACACTTGGGGGAGCAAACTGGCCACTGCAAAGACTTCCAGGCTCTGGGGCCTGCCTTGCCTGTGAACCCGTGCTGTACCCCCGGTGTTTCTAGTGGGGTGACAGTCTGCTGGGGTGTTCAAAGTGCTAGACAGGCAGAGAGAAGGGAAGCAGGGTTCAGACCCAGGCCAAAACACAGTGTAAGTCCTGCTTCCAGATTACCAGAGCAAGCTGGGGAGTAATAAGTGTTTCTTGAGAGGCAATGACTAGAACAGGGTTTTATTGTTTTATTTGGCAAAACTGGTGAATAAAGTCTTTTTAACCTGAAAGTCTAGAAACTGCTGGGGGTATATAGACCAGTTTATGCCACAGCAGGCCTGTGGAGATCAGAGGACAGCTTTCAGAAATCAGTCCTCTCCTTCTGCAGTGGGTTCTGGGTATCAAACCCAGGCTGCCAGACTTGCATGGTGCAGTGTTTAAGCCCACAAATCTTCACTCTATATATCCAAAGTCCTTTCCATCATGCTAACAGCGTTGCTCCTCCCCTACCTACAGCTGGCATTTCTGCACCACCCACAAGTCCCCGCTGCCAATGACACAGGCTGGTGAGGACAGGTTTGGGCACCGAGCAGGGGAAACTTGGCCATACTCACTTTCTGCAGGCACTCCGTCTTCTCTTTTTTCTTGTTTCGACACTTGGCAGCTGCAATCTTATTTCTTTCCCGCCGCCTCCTTTTCCGCTCATCTTCTTCAGGGGCCACCTATGAAACCCAAAAGGCACACATGGAAGCCACTGTGAAGCCAAAATATCAAGGTGGTGTTTTTTTTTTGGGGGGGGACTTTTTGTTTGTTTTTAATCACTTATGTGAATGTATATCTATGTTTGTCTGTGTGTACATCAACCACATGCGTGTATTCATGGTGTCTTCAGAGGCCAGAAGAGAGCACAAGTTCTCTGCCATGCATGGAACTCCCCAGTGAGGCTCTGGGGAATGGGGTGCTGGGAACATCAGTCCTCTGGAAGAGCAGCAAGTGCTCTTAACTACTGAGCCATTTCTACAGCCTCATGGCCTAGATTTCTGTGTGAACTCCCTACACACACGTGTGCACACACACTTGAGAATAACAAAATCTAAAATCAAAACTCTATCCATTAAAAGAGAATTACATTTAAAATTAGCAAAATCTAACCTACTTTATGAATGCATTTGGATTTTAAAATAAAAATTTTAATTTTAAATTGATAACTTGATACTAATTATAAGTGTGTCCTTTCCCCTAGGGCCAGAAATGACCTCCAGATCATCCCCCCCTGTAGTGCTTGCTGATAAGGGAATTTGTGGAACTTTTGGGATAGGAGTCATGGCTACAAGGGTGGGAGGTAGAGCTGGAGGAGGTGGGAGACACGGCTGGCGGAGGTGGGAGACACGGCTGGAGGAGGTGGGAGACACGGCTGGAGGAGGTGGGAGACACGGCTGGCGGAGGTGGGAGGTAGAGCTGGAGGAGGTGGGAGACACGGCTGGCGGAGGTGGGAGGTAGAGCTGGAGGAGGTGGGAGACACGGCTGGAGGAGGTGGGAGACACGGCTGGCGGAGGTGGGAGACGCGGCTGGCGGAGGTGGGAGACGCGGCTGGCGGAGGTGGGAGACGCGGCTGGAGGAGGTGGGAGGTAGAGCTGGAGGAGGTGGGTCACGGCACAAGGAGGGGAGGGTTGGAGTCCTACTACTCCACTTCTATCTGAGCTTTGCTTCTCGAGCCACGGAAATGTTCACACGCTCTCCACTATGCATGGAACTTCCCCAGCCGCCACGTCTTGCCTGTGTGATGGACTGTGTCTGTCCCCTGAACTGTGAGCCCAACACACTTCTCCAAAAGACATCTGTCAGTCATTCAGTCACAATGACAGGAAATAACTGACATTACTGTCTGTACCAGGAGCATCAAGGCACACCCTTCGCATGAAGCCTCTGAGCTCCTGGAGAAGACTGGAGGACATTACTGGTACTAAAATGGTATGAATAAGCCCACAGCTGGGGCGGGCGGGCGGGGGGGGGGGGTAGAGCACCCAACCACCTGTTGATTCAGCCAGCAAATCATACTATTTCCTGTGCCTCATTCTGAGTCAACACTGGGGCTTTCAGAGAACAGAGCCCTGTCCATTCTTAGGGAGCATGGTCCAGTCCCTTCATGGATGTCCATCCAGACCCAATTAAGTCTATGGGCTGATGAGCAGGGACCACTTCCAAGCTCTGAACTCTGCTTAAGGCCAAAGCCCAGCAAGGATGAACTTTCATGGTAGCCTGGTCAATGTCAGACCCTGTTAGCTTCAGGAGGCCATGACTGACCCCACTCTAGACTTTTTCCTATTCTTTTGGATCAGAAGATACTGACTGTGGACGGAGATGAAGATCTCACAACCTAGAGAAGCAAAGCTCAAGGGAGAACAATGGAAGAGGAATTTCTTTCATGTCTCAGGGCCACAGACCCAGTAAATATAAAAACCATGTACACACGTACATGCACACGCATGCACGCACTGGTGGGTGTGCAGGGAGACAGCTCAGTGGTTAAGAGTACTTGCTGCTCTCACAGAGAATTTGGGTGTGGTTCTCAGCACTTATATGGTGGCTCACAACAATAATTCTGGTTCCAGGGAACCCAAAACCCTCTTCTGGCCTCCGTGGGAACCAGGCATGTACACAGTGCAATACGTTCTTGCAGACAACACACACACATGAAATATGAATAAAAATTTAAAACCAAGAATGAATCATGGAAATCAAAAAACCCATAGAAAACAATTTTACTGGAAATATGGTAAAGTTGAGACTACTTTAAAAATTATTTGGATTTTGAAGTAAGATTTTGATATTTAAATTGATCGCTGTAATTCAGAACTGGGGAAAAAAGAATATTTTATAAATATGCCCTTTCCCCTAGAGTCTGGAGTGGCCTGGGAGCATCAATCACTTCTTCCTCACTCTTCCTCCTCCTCAGTCCGTCCAACTGTATGTCTTGCCTCCCTTCTCCATTTTTTCCTATGACTGTATGTTATTATTTCAAACTATATCATTAGAAGAAAAAAAACCCTCACAGAATGTCTCAGGCTCTAACCTGCACTATCCAAGACTGGACTGGATACCTGCAGCTATTTTGTGGTGCCCTCTCTGACCTCCTGAGTTAGCTGGGAGCACAGTTAATACCCACAATGGCATCCATGGCAACAGCATCATAAATAACGCCTGTTCCCATTCGTTGGATGCTGTGAGCCAGGTTCCCCTCAGACCTTCCACAAATGTCAGTCCTTGGCAGGAAAACCCAGTCTTTTGCCCCCAGCGCGAGGGATCAAACCCAAACCCAAGGTCTTACGGTCACGGTTGAGCTATGATCCCTGACTTAGCCTCCATTCGAAACGCACAGCTTTTGAGCCAGTTTCTGCCCTTTGACCCACAGATTAAGTAAGCCTGAAATATTCCCAACCGAGAAAGGCTAACGAAGTCACCAGAGTTCATCTCTGACGTTCTTGACGCGGCAGAGTCACCAGCAACCACGGTTCAATAGCCACGTCTATTATCCCAGGTGGGACGGTTTCTCAACACAGAACAGTTCATGTGTGTGAGTGGGTGTGAATCCAGGGCAAACATCTGGTATGCCGTCTGTGAGTGGTGCTGCCAGGAAGGGCGGGGCTAACCTCCTGGTCCCTGGGTCCTGCCCACTTCTCCAGGAAGTCTCCACACAGAAAGTGGCCTCAGTAAAGTCCCAGCTTCAAGGGCCGTCCACAGCTTGACGATTCCCAGTTCTGTGTCTCTGGCCCAGAGTTCCCAGCTCATATCTGCACTTCCTGGTGGATATCTTCCGAAGATACAGCTTCTATTCTTGCCCCACCTGGCCTCCCACAGTCCAAGTCCTGACCCACGTTAGATCCAGAAGCCACCCCATTTCAGCACTGGCCTAGCCTGGACCTTCACCTGCCTGCAGGGAGGGCCCCTTAGGGAGTACCCTTCCCACGGGACTCCCTCTCCTCAAGTCCTAGCTCAAAGGCCAAGACTAGTGATGCTTTCCCTGGTCTCCTAATTTAAAATGACATCGTCACCTCTACTTATTCTCTGAACCCCTTTCTTTATTGTATGTGTTTGAGCCTTTGCCTGCATGTGTGCTCACATTTGTGCGGTTGCTTGCTTCTCTGTCCCCCGCTTCAGGTGTTTTTGTTTTTTAAAAAGAATTAATTTTTTATTATGCACGTATTAGTGTTTGTGTGCATTTATGTATGTGTGACATACATAATTGTTGTGCAGTTGCCTGCAGAGGCCAGAAGAGGATATTGGAGCCCCTGAAACTGGAGTTACATACAACAGTGAGCCACCATGTATGTGGTTCCTGGGAATTGAACTCGTGTCCTCTGCAGGAGCAGCAAATGCTCTTAACTGCTGAGTCATCCCTTTGTGCAGCGCCTCTCCAGCTATTTGCTTACCAATTCTCTCTCTCTCTCTCAAGAGAGTCTTGATGTGTCTCAGAGTGACCTCAAGCTCACTGCTCTCTTGATCCTCCTGTTCTGTCTGGATCACTCACACACACACACACACACACACACACACACCACTCTATCTGCTCATTCATGTATTCTAGTCATTATTCCATTATCTTTAGACATTAGAATTTAGGCTCCCCTGGGGCAGTGCCTTTGTTGATTTTTACCCCTGGCTCTGGCCTCATGCATGTGCTCACACGTGGGGTGTGTGTGTGTGATAAATGCGCGCTGAAAGGAAGGACATGAGTTGGCAGAACGCACCTCAGCTTTGGTGACTGCAAGCTCCAGGGGTCTGTTGTTGATGGTCACTGACTCCAGCGCAGAGGACATCCGGTGGCAGAGGTGCTTATTCTGGATGGCGAACCTCAGCTCTTCCTTGACAAAGGGTGTCAGGTTAGCAAAATCCTCAAATACCAGCGACCCAGGAGGTGAGAGGCAGGGGACCATGGCAGATGCACTGACTTCTGAGGCAGAGACCTGGCCTGGATGTTGAAGCATCATTTTGCTGAAAGAAAAAATTAAGCCCAAACTACTTTAGGGGTCCTGGGGCATGGGATCCAACCACGCCGAAGAACAGCCCACCCCAGAACAAAGTCCTATCAGCCTTTGGGCTTTTGGCTTGTTTTCATTTCATGCTCATCTCTTGCCTGTGGCTGGAGAAAAGACAGGAACATATTTACCACTGTTTTGCTACATTACATGCTGTCAAACTGCCTCTTAAGTGTTTATGCTCATACCAAGGGACCAGTGCTGTCCTCAGCTTCTTTTGTCAGCAGGCAGCAGTTTCTGCAGAGAGTCATAACTGGGCAAAAGTGCTGTTCTAAACAGATGCGCTCTCTCTCTTTCTCTCTCTCCCTCGTGCGCGCACACACACACACCCGTGTTCACGGCTCAGGGGGCTAAAAGGATGTAGAAGCAGGAAGATGGGGAGAGAGCTGTGGACAGGACATGGCTGCTCCGCTCAGCCTGCAGAGGACCCTGTAAAATGGAGCCTATCAACATCCCAGCATGGATTAGGGAGGGCAGCTTGAGGTCCCAACGCTAATCTAGGAGCCACAGCAGTGAACCCCTGCAGGTGAAAGGGGCCACTTTATTCAGTGGTGTAGCCACAGCTCAGTTGTCCTTGTTCCGTAACTAACCCAACACCCACACTCACGCAAGCAATGCTAACTAAAGCCAACAGAACACCAAAAAGTTGTTTGTTTGTTTGTTTTTACATGCTGTCCTCATTGTGAGTAAAATATTCTTAAAACGCGCAGCTGAAAGATGACTAAGGTCTAACGGGATGACTTTTCAGACTCTTCTATTAGTTTGTCTTGTATGTGGATTATGCAAATATGATATCAGTCCCCCCCACCAAAGAGAAAAAACATTAGAAAACAAAAACCAGTGCCATCTGGAATCCCGTTTTCAGTCTCCTTTTCAAAAAGAAACTGGGAAGACTTGTGAAATCAAGGCGAATCTGCCAGGGAGCTGAGATAAAAGCGGGAAGTAGGGGCCTTAAATTCCACAACTCTGTGTCGGAAGTTTCTCCCGCAGGAAGCTGGGTGTGTTTCTTCACCCCAGTCCTTGGCAGGGGGTGGTAACAGCGGGGGACTCAGGTCCTTTGGGAACAAGGACCCCCTTCTCAATGAGAAGGCTGGCAAAGCAGAGGACTTCAGGGTAAGCCAAGCAAGCAAGAGGGGGAAGACCGTGCTTATGGGGGTGCTGTTAGCTCTAAGGTACGAGGAGAGAGGCTTGCAGTAGCGGCAGAGAGGGCCTGGGATGGGCCTGGTCACAAAGGAGCAGGCCATTCAGCTCTGTGGGACTCAGTCTTCATCTGGAAACTGGCTGAGGACTCTCCTGAGCCAGCAAACCACTGATGCTCTGCCCCACAGCCAGGCTCCGCAGAGGCCACAGCTGCCTGCTGACCAGTTGGACAGCTGCATAAACAAGGTGGGGACGAGGTGGCCGTAACAAATGGCCTTGTCGCCCTATAGGCCACAAGGGCAACACAGGAAAATCAAGGGCAGTGCGATCTAGAAAATTACCCCTAGTCTGCTGCTAGGACTCACGCAGCTGTGACTCCCACCCTTCCCAAAACAGGAGCAGGGATAGAGCGGCTGTGTTCACTACAGTGGTCACCAGTCAAGACCCAGAGCGCAGGAAGCCTTTTGGCAAACCTCTAACATTACAGGAAAAAAACCTATATATCTTGTCTCTTTTGAGCCTTGTGAGAACCCAGTGCTGTAAAACCTGGTCCCATTTTATACATGAGTTAACCGAGATTTAGACATATCACATTAACATGGGATAGTATCAGGCACCGGGATTTGGTTTGCTTGACTTCAGAATTCATGGCCTTAATTTATATGCTACATACCCAAATATTATACTTCATTGAACTAAAACAACAACAAAAACAGAGCAAAAGTTTGTGGGGGAGTGGAAGCAGACGGGAAGGCAGGAACAGAAACGGTGTGTGTGGGTGGGTGGGGGTGGGGGTACGACTAAGCAACAATTTCTACGGAACCCCTTAACTCTGCTCAAGAAGTTGCTGGTCTTTTCCTATCAGGTACAGACTTGGCTACTGCCTACATCCAGGTGTAAGTTTAAATGGGCTGTTTTAGCCATAAAATTCTCAAACTAGGACTTAAAAAAAAAATCAAGATTTAAAGACCACTTAGTTATATATTGTGACTGTACCCCCCAGTGGTTTCTTTCTCCAACCTAAAGGTTGGCTGATAACAAGTACCCTGTTTCTCCAAGAGTGGTCTGAGGGGCTTAGGAAATGATACAAGATGGTGCCTTGGAAAATACGCCACCAGGAGCTACGCTGGGTCTCTCAAGATCCTGCACAGAGGGCTGGCTGCTCTCCAGTGGAGACTTGGTGGGGTCTGCTAACCGTTGATGCTAAAAGCTCCTCCTGAGGGTTCCTGTCCCTAGAGGTCTAAGGTCCATGAGTGGAGGTAGAAATTCCAGACCAGCAAATACTGCCCTCCACAAGTCAGAAGAACTCAAGAAATGTATACAATTCTCTCCCATGCAGCAGGCCTGAGAACTGAAGGTCCTCTTCATGGAATCCTGGAATCTTGTGACTGGGGGCTGTTTCTCTGGCTTCTGAATTCGGAGGCTCAACATCCTCCCAAGCATCCTCATTTCCCCTTCCTTTCCAATTGTACTCAAAAACAAAACAAAACAAAACAACCAGTTAAGGGATGGGATTCAGAGCTGCCGCTGGCCTGGACTTCATTTACATGACTAGATGGGTCATCACTAGTTTGAGCCACAGTGGTTGAGTTTCTTAATGAACCCTTTGGACTTAAGAGTAAAGACAGGAAGAAACCAAGGAATGTCAGTAGTATGGAATGTTTTTGTGAAAAGCTGGGGGTGGGGCTTACTTGGGGACACAAACATGTTGTAAAGCTATAAGACAGCCTTTCTGATAACCAAGTGGCTTCATCTGTAAAGATCTGGTCGTCTTGTATAGTCGTCTCCAGAGATTTCAGCCTAGAGTCAGGCTGTGCCCTCCAGGGAAACAAAGTCTAAAACTTCAGCTAGTTTTCAGGAGTGGAAGCCCTCTAATACAGCCTGCATCTGAGAGGGGAGAGCTGAGTTAACTCTCCAGACGGATCATAAATCTTCTTTTTGCTTCAGGACTCGCATCCTGCTTCCTGACTTCCAATCAGAATCATGTCATACCGCTGGCAATTTCATCATTTTCAAGAAAGTGAAACTTAATTATTTAACTGGAAGTTTAACTCCTAGAATTTTTCTCCAAGGCTTTGAAATTTCACTTTTGATTTCCACTTCCTTCCACTGAGCCATCTGCCAGCCAGACCTGCCAGTTGGGAGAAGGTAGCCACCTTCCCCTGACTCTCCACATCCTGTTCTTTCTCCTGTTGGCAGGCTGGAGGTACAAGGCTGGGCTTCAGGTCTGTGTCTGCTCTCACTAGCTGAGTACCTACTCAGGAGCCAGAGGCTCTCTGACCTTCAGTTCCTATCTGACAATTGTGGCTGAGGTTGCCAGATCCCTCCCTGGGCTGCGGGAAAGAACTCATCACACACGGACACACTTGAAAACACAAGAGGCTGACACCCACACAAGCATTCTGACTCCACATCCCTTTGGGGAAGCTGATTAGTTCTGACCATCAGGAATGAACTGGAAGCCTCGAGAATTTCAGGTCAGCCTGTCACAACTGCTCCACGGTCCTGAGACTTCCACTCCACTGTTTGCTGACATCAGCACGTCTCCATAACTGTTATGTTCTTCAGAGATTGTGAGTTTCCACAGAAGAAACCATTTTCTCCTGAAGTTTCTGTGGTGTCCAGGCTATGTCCCTCCTTCCCTGGCTGGGTTACCCTGGAGCAGTTCCGTAAGGAATCACAGACTCTGGCTAAAAGTACCCTGCCTTAGAATGGTCTAGATCAGACCCTTATTTTGTCATTTAGTAAACTGGGGTCCAGGAAGGAAAGCAGCCTAAACTCACAGAGCTGGAGGGTGGTCCGGTCCAGCCAGGCTGCTGAAGCCACCCCTCTGCACAACCACAAGGGCCCATCAGTTCAAGAAAGAAACCACAGGCAGAGCTGCCAGCCAGGTAGCAGCTGAGGGCTCAAGAGACTCATATCATGAGGAGGCTTTGACAGAAGAAAGATAGGAAGGGGTCACAGAAGAAAGCGGTGTGGAAAGAAGGGATTTGGATAGCCGCAGGTGTAGAACGGTCTGTCAGCAACTTCTGAAACCTCAGAAACAACCGCAATCGCTCCCAAGGCAAGAGCCTGTATGTGGAAACATTATCCCACAACAAATGCTACATGCAAAACATGTGCTCTCCTGGTGACACATGCTTGTAATCCCAGCACTTGGGAACTGAGGCTGGAGGATTGCCATGAGTTTGAAGCAAGCTTGGGTTACACAGGGAGACCCTGTCTCAAAAAAGTCAAACAAGGTGAAGGGCAGAATAAAACTTTTAAGTTGATTGGGCTTGGCAACTCCTTTGATTTATAAGGAAGCCTGCGATCTACATTAATGAAATTAAGGAAAATAAAGTGTCTAGGAGGAAAATTTTAAAATGGGAGTGGACTCAGAGCAGAGAACCCACCAAGGAGAGAAAAACAGGAGACAGGATGGACAGTGAAGCCCCTTCCCTTCCGGTCTCGGGGACACGCGGTGGAGAGCCACGCTCTCGCTCAAGACCCCTTCCTGGCGCTTTTTATTTCGTCTGTTTCACTCTAAAAACTGAAAACTTTCCGCCAAAACCTGGCCATGTAAACCACACAGCACAAGGCTCTAGCACAGGTAGAGAGGTGACCTGTCATCTCAGCACTTGGGAAGTTGGGCAGGAGAATCACCAGGAGTTTAAGGACAGTCTGGATTACAAGGTGAGACTGTCTCAAGAATACAAAACAACAACCCCCAACACACACACACACACACACACACACACACACACACACACACACAATTTGTCAAGTCAAGTAGTTTCACTACCTGGTCCCTCCACCCGTTCGATCCGGTCCCCGCGGTTCTCTTCGATTACACAAAGCAAAGAAATCCTAGAACCGGTTAAAAAAAAGTCAGAGCCACAGAGAGTCAAAACAGCGAGAGAGGTTGGAGCTGACGTCCCAAACCCTGCCGCTCGCCGCTCGATTTAGCGGTGCCGAGACCTCTCCGGAGTCCGCGCTGGGACAGCGCGACACCGGCGCTCGCCGCCTAAATTAATCCCAACTCACTTTCGCTCAAGCTCTCTACGCTGTCCTGCCGCTTAGAGCTCAGCTCCAGGGAGCGCAAGGCGACCTCCAGCGGCTGTGCCGGGGACCTCGGACCGAGCGTCTCTTCCCCATTCATTTCGCTCGGTACTGGGAGCGGCGCTCCCTTCAGCCGCGGCCACCGCGCCTCTCGGCGGACTTAGAGGAGACCCGCTCCGGCTCCGGCGTCCGGACACCAAGTGAGGGACGGAGTGGACCGCGATCCAGAGAGCGTGGGTCACCCCTGCGCACCAACACCCACCACCCACCCAGACGACCTGTCCTAGCTGAAGGCTGAGAGCGCGCAATCTCCTCCGTCCATGGGCATCTTTCACGCCTCAGAAGAGAAAGTTTGTTCTTTCACTTTTCTAGAAACTTTGCCCCAGCTCGGAGCGGCAACGCCAAGGAGCAGTTCAGCCGAGCGAGTGTGGCGCGGGAGACTAGGACTCGAGTCCCGGGTGGCTCACGGGTCCCGGGACTGGTCACCAGAGGGGAGATGAGAAGGGGAGGGCGGCTCTCCACCGCGTGGCTCTAATGCTCACCTCCAGTCTCCGTTCGGGGCGGCCAGGGTCCAGAGAGCGGCCAGAGGCGGGAGGTCTGTCCCGCCGACGGGCGAGCACCAAGGACTCTGCTGGAGCGCGGGCTGGCCGGCAAGCTCCGCGGGGGAAGCACCGTGCCCAGCGAGCCTCGCTGAGTGAGACTGTGGCTGGGAGCGCGTTGCATCACCCCTTTTATAGCTCTGGTCCTCGCAAGGCTAGCTTAACTCCAGGTTACCAATGCCAGGCTGACGTAATGCTATTAATAGCTTCCAGGGAGAGCCGGCCAGAGGAGGGGTAGAGGAGGCCGAGGGCGGGGCCAAGGGTGGGTGGAGACCGCGGGGTTGGTGATGCAAGTGCGAGAAGGGGCGGTCACCTAGCGTCCAGCGCGCCTTGCACGCCCGGGACACACACACGCGCCCGCCCTCTCTCTCCAAATCAGGCCCGGAGTCGCTCGGGCGCACCGCCAGGTGTGCGTATTCGCCGCTGCGTGTTCCAGGCATGAGCCAATCGTGCCCAAGCCAGCGGCATGACTCCACCGCCCTGGCATCTCTCCCTCCGCTAGGTTGGGGAATGGGGGGGAGGGGTGCTCGGGAGGCGGGACCTGGCGGTGGCCCAGACTAGGTGAGGCTGGGAAGCGGGCACGACCTTTCTCAAAAATGCGTGGTCATTTTTTCTAAAACTTCAGAAAAAAGCGCCTTCTCTGGCCAGCGGCTTTACTCAAGGAGGGGGTAGGGAAGAGGCAGCGGTGACAATCTCCCGCGTGAAGGAGGTGCCCAAAGTTACCCTCCGGTGAATCCAAACCGTTACCCGCCTACCCGCCAGTGTGACCTCCGCCGTCGTGGGCCAATAACGCAGACATTCGGCCGGCCTCTTTCTCCCAAGCCCGCGGCCCCCGCACACGCGGGGGCCTCCGGACTCGCTAGGAACTGGAGATGCTAGTGATAAAACGCTGTCAGTTTGGTTTTAGGTTTTTAATAACAACCACAAAACATTTGAAATGAACAGGGAATTCTCGGCGAAAGCAAGAGTGTAGAAAGAGGAAAAGTCTGGAGCGATCGGAGGCCACCCAGCGCAAGTCTAAGAAGGGCTGCGGAAAAGACCGCTCAGGGAGTGCAGACAATAGGACGCTTTGATCTCCACGTGCCTGGTCTTGGCAGAGGTTGGGGGGGGGGTCGCCTGGATGTGAGGAAATATTTAGAGAAAAACCGTCTCCAGGTTTCCAGTGTCTATCTGCAGGAACAGACAGCTGTGCTGGAGCCTGGCCGCCCGGACTGAGCACGTACCACTTAAAGTCGGTACGTGGGGCCCTCTGTCTTCAAGACTGGTGGCTGGAAAGACTGGACGTAGGGTTCAAGCAGAGGCCTCAGCAGAACTGGGTTTGAATCTTGAAAACAGTTTCCTGGTTCTGATCCAGTAATTCCAATGGTCTCAACTGAGCGCAAGACCCCTGGAGGGTCTCCATAGCTCATCAAGGGCTAAAAGTGCGCACGAATGCGGCCCGAGACTCACACACCTGCCCGGGAAGCCTTCTGGCGCACAAGTGGGGCAGGACGCCGGAATGTAAAGACAGAGGCACCTGCTAACACCTGCCTTAGAGGGGAAGGCGGGCAGAAAGTCACAGAGCGGTAGTTTGGGGTAAGAAGCGGAATTATCCCGGTTCCTCTGCCCCGTAGCACCTGCCACCTAAACTGTTCCAGTCTAAGGGAAGGTCTCTCTCTCTCTCTCTCTCTCTCTCTCTCTCTCTCTCACACACACACACACACACACACACACACACCGGCATTACACCTTAAGGAACTGATGTCCTGATGTCCCTTGAGACAGACACTTGGGACACAATCAAGTTCTATGTACACGGGTTCCCCCAGTCCAAGCCAGAGCCTCGCCCTTCACAGGCCCCTGCCCTCCAGGGAGGCCCCTGAAGTCTCTCCGCCCCCGCCAGCCGGGGAAGCCTGAGGTGGTTCCATCCCGGGGATCCTCGTAGATCCTGCCAGGATCTGACGCGATTGCAGTAGCGTCGCGCGGGAAGCGCCGGGCGGGTGTTTTGCTTTGGTTTTTGCCTTGGTAACGGCTCCCGGGGCCACACCCTCCATCTCCCACGCCCACGCCCTGCTCCACACCTCCACGGCCCGCCCTTCTGCCGACCTGCAGGCAGGTAAACCCCGGGCGTGTCTGCACAACACCGAAGAATGCCAGGTGCCTAGAAATGAAAGTCATTTGGGATCTCCATTTATCTGTCCCATCTTCGTACAGACTGCTCTGGAATAAACACCACCACTGTACAGCGAGACAAGGAGTTAGGGGGGGAACACATGAAGCTACTGTCAACCCCTACAGAAATCTTTAACTGTTTTACAGATTAAACTGCGGTGCCATTAATTCCCGAGCCAGATCTGCAGAGGTCGGTCCTGTCTGAGGGTCTTAAGAACCCAAGCAGCAAGACCAGCGCCCTAGGAACTGTGGCGGTGTCGTGGACAGAAGTGCGCTGAACGTCCAGGGCACCTTGTCATTACCGTGGGGCCCCCACCCCACCGCTGTCTTTCTTCTATTCTAATCATTAGCTTTCCTTCTCCAAGTCGCATCTGGGTAGAAAGGCTCTCAATTGTTTACCATCCTCCGCCTCCCTCTCCAACTGAAACTCTAAAAGCTATCAGAATCTCCAGGGAGAAGTCCGCCCCCCCTCCCCCCCCCACACACCCAACTTGAACGAAACTCCTATCATGGGCAAACACTTTCTGCCTGCCTCGGTCCTCTATGCTCCCAGGAGAATCGTAAGCGTCTGAGAAAAACGGAAAGATCTGGGTCAAAGGAAGTCCTCAATATTTGAGTGCCCTCGCGCCTCAGTTTACCCTGACTTAAGGCCACTAGTGTCTAGCGCGCGGACTCTCCCCTGAGCACGGGTAGCACCACGCAGAGGGGCAAGAAAAGCTCTGGCACCCAAATCGCTTTCCGACAGAAGGGCAAAGGAATGCTTCTGCGGTCGGAGCAGTAAACCCTGGGTAGCGTGGTTTAGGGCTTAATCCTCAGTCAAAGAGGGTTACGCGGAAACTTGAATGTTGTGGGCCAGAAAACCGCCCGGGGAGCCCGTATGCAAATCAACTCCGGTCTGTTTTGCTGAGTGAGATAAGAATTGGAGATTTCATGCTGGAGCATGTACCAAAGGAAGAGGGAAAATTAAAAGGGGAGGGGAAGGAGCCAGGCAGCTAAAAACAGTCCCCTCGTGGCAACCAAAACTAAACACAAAAACATTGCAAGGAGCCAAAAGCAGAAAAGGAAAAGTTCAGAGATATTTAAAGGTTTTTGCAGTTCAGTGGGCGATCCCTTTCCACATTCCTCTGCCTCCATAACTATGTTCTTCAGACTCCGAGGCTGGCTGTGTTTGCTCAGAGAACTCTAGAAAGAAGTTAATACCTCTGAGACAACTTGAGTTGAAGGCTGGCCTGTCTGCTTGCAGGTTTGACCCCAACTCTTTACCTTGGAAAGGAGAGGGGCAGATTTTTTTTCCAAACCCGTGCTCTTGGCCAAGTTGAATGTGGGAACTACTAATTTAAGCCTCTAAAAGTTCATCCTCATGGAAAGAGGCAGCTCACAGTGGGTGCTGAACTGTGGGAGGCCCTGGTTGGATTGTGGATGCTGCCCTTAGCAGCCATGTCCCCTGGGTCGTCCCCACTCATTTCGTCTCCAGGTTTAAGTGTCCCCCTCACTGAATAAAAAAGACCCACGGAGAATGAAGCACACAATCAGAGTCTTTAACTGTGGGTCAGGAAGGCTTTCTGGGGTACCCTCTGTCGCCTTCATCAGTGAGAAGCTGAGGATGAATCTGGCAACACCCAGGATGATAATCATGAAAGGGGGGCTTGGATGAGATCCTCCTTCCCCCCAAAACAGCAGGAGTAAGCGTGTCTCCCCCACCCCGTCCCTTCCCCCCACAACTAATCAGAGACTGATGCTGGATGATGCTGACAAATGGTGGCAAAGCACCCTGGGCTGGCTGGGGCCGGGTCAGCCTGGGCTGGGGACTCCAATGCCCTCTCTGTTTCTGCCTTTTTACTCTTGAGAAAGGTAGGCCCTCTTTTGGGGTTTCCATGTTTTTGTTACAGAGGTCCCTAGGCTGGCCTAGGAGGGTCCTGAATGGAGACTCTCTTCCCCAAAGTCACCCAACTGCCATGCAGACTTCTGAGGGTCAAAACAGCTGGCTCTGGGGAGAGCTGTTGCGTGGAAGGACTGACCCATTCTGTAGTCCCACTTCTCTAGAGAGATGGCTGAGATGTGCTATTAGATCTGTTTCTCAGACAGCCTGCCCTCTCTTTTGTTCTCTTTTGAACATTTCTAGAGGGGCACTCACCATGGCACGGAGGCAGGGGTTGCATCTTTTGAGGGCATCTTGTATATAGACATGAACTTTGGACCACAGGGTCAAATCTAGGAAGCAGCTATTCCCACTTAAAAGAAACCAGTCCTAGGACCCTAGAAACCTGAGATGAAGTCACAGAAGCTCCAGTGTTATTAGCAGGACATAATCGGTCTGAGGACTGCCCACAGGTTGACCCCCAGCAACTGGGCGACTCTGCAGGCCATAAACAATACCACCTGAGCTTGCCAGTCCACACAATGATTAACATTAACTCCCCATAAAGCATTGGTATAAAGATCATGATAGAATAGATGTGAAAGTGGGCTGAAAATAGTTTCAGAAAACATACTGGCAGGTTTATAGCTGGACTTGGCAGTGCACGTTTGTCATCCCAACACGTGTGGGGGCTGAGAGAGAAGGCAGAACATCTGAGGCCACCTTGGGATGCCTTGCTGTTGGAGACCAGTCTGGGCTCCACAGCAAGATTCTGCCCCTAAAAACAAAAGCATGCTTTTCTTACAATAATATTTTTGCCATTGTGAGAATTAGGGGAAAGGCAAATATCACTATTTTGACGTATCTTTCTGGCTTTTCCCCACATACATATGATTTTAAGATATAGTTGTGGTTTTATATTTGCAGCCTTCAGACCTGTTCCTTTGCTCATTACAGCATTTATTAACATTAATTTTTTCTTCTTAAAACTGTGTTCCTTTTATCGTAAGACAGAGCACACATACGGATGTTTCATAGAACAAATATGTGTAGATTTAA